TCGAATACGATTGGCTATCGATGTCAGTGCAAAGGTCATATGAATATTAAAATTAAGTGGGCGGAAGGAAAATTGTATAGGAGACAAGCTGGAGTCTCGTGTGGCGATAGCGATAACACCGGGACGAATGGTCTGGGGTACATGAATGAATGAACATAGCACTGAAATGATATTACCTATTAATTCTAATCAACCTTGTTAGGTAGAGTTTCACTGTTTTTATCTCCTTCCATAAATGTAATACTTCACAGAAATATGTGATGTTTTGTAGCCAATAGTGATGATGGACATGTAGAATTGGAAGCCATGCCTCAATGTTATCAATGTTTGTGTTCTCTGAGATTGTTTACGACTGATTTTTTTTTATCACAGCTACTATTCAGAAGAAAATACTGAGCATGTTGGCTGGATCTGCCACTGATCTCTTGAATGAAGTTATAGATTTATTCAGTGAGCTCAGTCACCTCAGCATATGTCCATACAGTGAGCAAAGGTAAAACACGTTATATGTATATGTTCAATAGAATAGAATAGAATAGAATAGAATAGAATAGAATAGAATAGAATAGAATAGAATAGAATAGAATATTTTGTAATCGACTTTTTCATCGTGTCTATATCAATCTACATATGCAACGTTTAGCATATTTCTATGTATTTTCTACAATTTCTTTGTTGTTTTTGAACTGAATGGACATCATGTTTACTGACTTTACAGGTCTTGACCAAAATTTGTGATATAATATGGAAATATGTTATATTATATGCTGTTATATTATAAGAATATCTCAAAGTTCCAGGATCTGTGCGCCATTCAAAATACTTGCCTTTTATATATGCAAACAGGCAGTTCCTTTTGAAAATGGCGGTGGAGCTAAAAATGCCTCTCCTCAACTCAGTAATGTGAACAGTTTTTTCAAGATTTTAGGTTTGAGGTAGTGATGATTAGCTCTTGATTTTGGAGTGGGATTGATGAGTGGAGTCATCACATGCCTTAGAAAGTAAGGTCTTTTGTAGTAAGAAGTGATTTTCTGTTTTCTGTGTGAAAGACGCAAATCAAGTATTTTGAATTTGGATGTTTTCTTTTTTTTTATAGTTTAATGTCAAAATGCCTATCTTTCAGAGGAGAATATGGCATTGAGATAGCCTTACTTCATCAAAATTGACCATTTTAAAATATTCATAGCACATTATTCAGCATAGAAATATCCCAAAACTGTTTTTATGTTCGCCCCTAGACATTACATGTATAACCAACCTATTTCACTTGCTTTTACATTTGATTTTATGTATAATGCTGCATCGCACAATGAACGGGAAATGGTAACTGAATGTATTTCCTTGGCAGTTCTACATTGATGTCAAGTCATAATCAAGTGTACCAAAGTCTTGCCGCTCTCATAAGGTGGTCTGATTATCTACTGATCCACGATCAGATCAACGAAGATAAAGCGTGCCTTAATGACATCACAGAGGCTGTCAAAAATGGCATTAAAAATCTGGTGAAGTTGTCAATTCAGAAGTTAAAAGACAAAGATAAGGAGTCCAAGAAAGGGCCACACAGCTCAAACACATTGAAAGTTGAAAACAGGTATGTAAATTTGCTTGAATTCCACAAGTCGGTGAAAATCACAAAATGTCTGCATGTACTCTTTTGAATGATTACGAACATTCCTATTGTCAAATTGGAATGGTTAATTGTTTAGGGATCTTCCTATACTGTTGACGTTTGCCATGGATGAATGATATTTCATCTTCCTCAAGATATCTCCACCTTTCATGACAGCAGAATAGCTTTGAGTTTGTATTTTGAGGAGGGGGGAGGGGTGTTTTATATTAAGTTAAAATTGCATTCAAGATTGTACTTTGCAAATATGTATAACATCACTTCCAAGGCAAGGAAAAAATGTGTGGTAAAATGATGATGTTTTAGCTGAAAATATGATATTTTACATTAAACATAAATATCCTTGTCTCACTTCCCTGTTCAATTTTGAGAGTACTGGAGGTTCTTATTTCTTACTTTTTCACCACCAGATCCCGCTTTTCATCACAAAATAGTCCAGTTATAGTCTTCTTCACAAGTTTGAGACAAAAAAAAAGCCAAATTTTTCGGGTAAAAACTGAAAATTGACCCAAATTTTGTCTGTTGGCTCCAAAATTAGATTTCATTTCCTGAAATATTGAAGAATATTCAAGAACAAAGCGCAAATTTGAGCGAGAAAGTCGGTTGGTGAAAAGGTTAAACAACCATATCTACTATGTAACTAGCCTTCAACAATAAACAAGGCCTCCTAACTCAGTGTCTATTGCAAAATCATCTAGTATAATTTAAAAAAAAAAACCTAATGTCATTTTCTTGACCTGATTTCTCATTACTCATCCACAATTTCAACATTTCATGGTGTGTATTGGTCAGTTGATAGTATCTCACAGATTTGCATTGTGGGAATTCAACTTTTTCAGCATGTTAATAAGATCTTAAGGATATTTTCTTTGATTGACCAAACTGTTGAAATTCACCAAGCTTAAAAAATTATATGTAAACAAAAACTTCATTCAAAAAAAATCACAACCTTTGTGTTTATTGAAAATATACAATCATAAAATAGAAATTCCATATCTGATATCACCCCTTTAACCTGCCCTTCCTCTTTCAGATGTCATACTTTTAATATTTTGGTGTAAAAACAGATTAAGAATGTTCTATGCTCTGATTATAAGCTTGATGTGACAGTTTGCTCATTCTGACAAAATTTCAATTAGTATTGTCGTGGTATTTTGGCCTTGAAATTGGATCCTCTCAGAAGTTCAAGCTTGAATATCTGAACAGCATGAACTTGACTGCCATGCTGGGGAAATCTGCACAGACATTTCGTAGACAGACTTACTGTATTCATAACTGTTCATTTCTGTATACCATTTCCGACATGACAACCAACGCCAAGCACATTCTGGGACTTTATTCTCAAGAAAAAAATGAACTGACGATGAAACTTTCTACTACTTCCTGTTATTCTGCAATCTGCATTTTCTGGATTCACTTTGGTATTGAACTAACATGTATTTATAGTTACTGTACTATGTAATCATAGTGAAAATGATTGAAGATTTCTAAGTTTGGCCATGCGTGATTGCAATTGGGTCTAGCCATATGCAAACATTTGAGATTAGTTTAAATTTTAGCCCTACTTCGTGTAGACTGAACACAACTCTTTGATTAATAAATTTTTTTACATACATGTACAATGTATGTACTTTTAGGATAGTCACTTATTGATGAATACTCTTGACTTGCAGTGGCCATGTTTCTCCTAACTTGTTTTAACAAATATTAACGGGAACATGTACATGTATATTTAACAACAACAACAACAACAGAAAGCAAGCAATGCCATTATTTTATCCTTGGTTATTGTCGAGTTCATATGCAAAATGTAAACAATTGAAATGCCAAAAAGAGGCCGCTATGTTTAATAAATAAGACTCGTTTCACCTGATTTGTGTTGCCGATAATGTTATCAAAAGTGCTTATTACAAATTCAAGTTCTACGTTGCTTTTCATTTTTTTTCACACTATCTCAATGATACTGGAATTAATTTCACACCTTCTATTCAACTAACCACTGCTGGCATATTGCTATTGTATCGTTTCATACATCATTGCTTCATCATGCTCATATTTCAGCAACCGACAACATCGTACATCGCTTCCTGAAATACCTCTCTCACCCAAAGAAAAGGAAATTCTTGAATCCACTGCCCCGCTCTCTCAGTCTACAGACGATTTAGTTGTACATACTGACGACACTCCGCCTCCTAAACCACCTTTACCAAACGATAGGTGGTCACATCCTAATATTCTTTCTGATGGGTAAGTCTCCATTTTTTATATGGGCCTATGAATGCGCAGGTTACTAGTGTTGAAATGGATATGTTGTTGGTTGAGAGTACTATAAAATGGCTTATTTTACATCTGACCTCTGTTCCTCTGTGATTACATGTTATTATGTCCACTTTGCTGATGTTCATAGTTTTTTGAAACTCGTAAAATTTCTCAGAAGGGATTAAATTGGTAACAAAACAACAAATTGACAACAAAAAACATGTACAAAATGTGTACAGTGTATTCATAGTCCATATATACCTGTTTTTTTCTTTTTTTAATTTTTGACTCCATGTGTGAAGCACAAGCGCAATGTACATGTATATACTAATCAGGATTATGGGAAAAAATGTTTATAACTTCGCTAAAACCATTGGCATTTGGTCTTAGCACAACAAGGTCATGTTGCATGTGTAATAATATTGATATTTTGTCTTTGATTACAATTAGTTTTATTTTTATCGAATTTTTGTTGTTGGTATGACAGGAATACGATTGCGGTTATACCTCCAGATTTACCAAGCAAGAAGAGACTTTCTGTGCCACTTATAACAAGTGCATCCTTAACACCGCCACATAGTCCACAAAATTTAACCAAAATTAATGGTTATCCATCACCATATGACAATATTCAACGACTGCATTATGGTCCCCATGTTAGGACCATAAATACTGGACAACCTGTGGTGCCTAATTCAACTAGTTTTGATAATGTGGATGGGGACTACGCTGATCTTGATCCAAGTTACAGTCCTCAAAGTGTTCAACACGGCAGCCGTAAGATGCATGTTGTGGAAGAGAGTAGATACCAGATGAACCAGTGTAGTGTCGAGATAAAAGAGAGCAGTAGTTGCCAAATGAACAGGAGTAGTAGTTGCCAGATAAAACAGAGTAGTAGTTACCAGAGCACAATGCATTCTGTTCAACATAGTAGTTTTCAGTCGCATGGCGTTGTTCAGGCACAAACCATGAACAAAAACATTTGCCAGGATCCGAATTCTTATAATTGTACACAGCAGCCAGATAATAATGTTACAAAGGAGACTGGGAAACCAATTGTGCGTCAAATATCCCACTATGATAATTTAAATAAATTAGATGTTGACGGTGAACCTCCGCCATTACCACTGAAACACACAAGTAAGTTAAGAACTCATTATCAATACTTCTTTGCTATAACTGTTCTATACCATCCATATACTGTACCACAATTTTCTATCTGTTTCCTGTCAAAACGAGTAACAAGAGAAGTCACATGTTGGAAGCATTAATTTGTGGAGTCTTGTTAAGAATGTTTACCATCAAAACCAGTCATATTAGGGTATTTTTGAAATCATTAAAGCGGAGGGGTGTCACCTGTGCATATACAGAAATTGAGTTAAGTGATGATAACAACACAAGCTAAAAATACAAATAGTAGACAAACAATGATACACTATGGCCGTCTGCCCCATGCGTAGGTCACAATCG